CCAACAAATAAAAACGCCTTAATAAAAGCAATTACAGAGGAATGGAAGAAAATACCGGAGTATTACGACATAAATGGTCTTATACATTCCATGCCTCGTCGCCTGAAYGCAGTCTTGGATGCCAAGGGACGCCACACCCACTATTAGAACCATAAATGTTATAATTTATAAGTTTTCTTTACAAGTTTAACCAATATTTACATTTTGCAAAGAATTAATTGACAGCCTAATATTTACACACTTCTTATTTTTGTTGTTTTCTTATTATGTTTTATGCTGAAAAGTGTAGCTAATAATCTCTCTTATTATAATTTAAAAGAAAAAACTGAAATAAATCCATTTTTTCTAAAGAAAAATAAACTTGAAAGTTTATTTCAATGATGTTTTCCATTTTGCAAAGAATTACTTGACAAACTGTATGTATATTTTGAATAGTTCAATACGTTCAAGGGAAAGCTCGGTGTTATGAATGGTAGACTACTATAAATTATTTTTTTAGTCGATTGGTCAATTGATTATACAATTAATTCTAGTTAATTTAATTGCAATTTAAAAGAAATTGTTTTAATCACCAAGCATCATTCATTTCAAACCGATAATATATCACATATTGGCCGACATTTTCTATCAAAAGTCTACTATAAGTAGAGAGGTCCACATATTCGATGCCTAGGGGATTGAACACTTTTCCTTGTACTTTTTTGGTCATAAGGTGGCACACATTATTCGTGCAAAGTTTGTATATTTGCTTCTTGCTTGCTTCTTGATTTATCCAATGGAAAGTAAAGGAATCAAATGGTATTATATGGGAAGTATTCGTGGTTGCTGTCCGATTTCGTCCATTTTAACAATGTAACATAAGAATGTAAGAAGTATGTTACGTACTAAATTTTGTCGAAATCGGTTAGTCGGGTCCCGAGATATGTGATTTCACCAAAAAGTAGGCAGTGCTACCTTAAATTTTCACACCGGCTCTCTCGCATTTATCGCGCTTTTATTAGTCTTTAACAGTAACGTTTTATGGGGAGTGAGTGGGATTATCTTCCGATTCCATCCATTTTATGTCGGTAGAAGTTCTTAAGATTAAGTTAAGATTTGTACTCAGCACATTTGGTTGTTGAAGCTTAAGAGGCTTAGGGGATATGTTTATTAAACTTGTTAGAGGCCTGGGCCATGCCCACTTTTTCAAAAAAAAAAAAAAATGTTTCCTACACGTGCCACTTTCATATGCTCTGTACCAAATTACAGCTTTATATCTTAATTTAGCGCTTAGTTATGGCACTTTATATGTTTCTGGTTCATGGAGATGGTGGTCCGAGTTTCATTAAGATATTTAAATTTTTGCTCAAGTAATACTTTGCACGGACGCACTAAGGGGTATTTGATGCAAAACACCGGTCATAATTATTTAGGGACCTATATTATCTTTAAATGTAATAAAAAACAATATTGAATCAATATATAGCATTTACTAATAAAAATACATGATTAGAATAGAAAAAAAATAACTGAAAATAAAATAAAATAATATAATTTAAAAAAAAATTAATCGGTTTCAGGATAATCTACTTCGCTGATTACATCAGAATCCTCTTCCTCGACAGTATTCTCGTCTGACCTATTGAGATTAGGTGTTGCTGCAGTTAAAATTGATTTTGCTTCCTCGGAAAATGGCACGAGTTTCTTCTTATTCTTTGGACGATTGTAGCTGATGAGTGGATCGGACGTTAAAAGCAGTCTGTTCAAAACGTCTCTGTTACACTCGATCCTC